GCACAGCTAATTAAAGCACAAAAGCAAATTAAATCTTTAGTTATTAATACAGAAAATGAACAAATTTTAAAAAATTGATCGTATCAAAAAATAACTTAATTATTGCAACTATTATTTTAGTTTAGTAGCTCAAACAATATTTTCTTTTGTTATCATTATCATGTCACCTTTTCATTTAAATTATATTTTCAATATAATATAGTATTAATCAAATTTTGTGGATATATAGTATATAGTAGTATAAGGATTATATAAACATACAGATGATGATAACATTAGCTTAATAGAAAGAATAGATGTAAGGCTGAAATATTTGAAATATTTACTTTTTAAATAAAACATATGTGACAATTTTTGTAGTTGCTCAATTAATAGGGGTTATTTTCGGATTATTATTATTATAAATGATTTAAATTTGTTAACAATAATTCATTACAATCATTATATAGATGGAGATGCTCATGATTATTATAAACATTTCATCGGAAATAATGTGCCGAACAATATCCACGGATCTCAATTCATATAAAAGGAACTCATGCTGTTTAATTAGACAATTGAATTGATATTTATTATGCAAGAAATGTAAGTTAAAAAATGTAATAGTTGGTATTTACAAAAGGAAATGCCAATTAATTTATTATTACACTATATATAAATTTTAAAAATAATATAATTCATACATCATAAATAAATAAAAATAAATAAATTAAATAAGCTTCATCAGAGACCAGTTAAAACGATCTTTTTCTTAAATCCTCTCTTTTATTATTATTATAGACACTATTGTTATTATTATCTTTATTACCATTACCATTACTGTTATCATTGATAATCAATTTACTTGAATTGAATCTATTACTGCCATAGCCACTACCATTATTACTAATGAAAAATTTGTTCCAACATTTTCAGACTAACCGGTTTAGTCAGAAATCCATCTACACCACGCCAATTAAAAAGAAATCATTCAAGCACAATCGCTGATGTTCGTAATAATGATGATAATAACAGCAACAGCCACTATGATATTGCTCTTGAAATAAGACACAGAAAAATACTAAAATATAAGGCTGAGATTGCTAAAATGGAAGCAAAAGCAATTTCATCTGTTACATATCAAAACCAAAGAGTTAGCATAACAGAATTCCAAAAATCTATAACAATTGGACATGGCAAAACATGCAATTTAAGGATTAATAAACCACTCTATATTGCAAATACTCATTGCACAATTTCAATTGTAAGTAACAATAACTTAATTAATCAATTTTATGTAATATTGAAATCATTATAATTTCTATAATAATAATATTATCATTATAATCCCATTAGAGAAAAACAAACATTAAAGATTTAAGTTTTGAATCATTTATAAAAAATGGTTCAAATAAAAGAACTTTTATTAATAAAAAACTTTTGGAACCACATGAAGAACGTTTTTTACATCACAATGATAAAATTTTAGTTAAGACTCAAGAGGGCTTTATTGGTGAGTAGTATAAATCAATTAATTTACATATATGTTTATGTTTGTATATTTGATTAATATTTTATTATTCAATTATATTTATATAGAAATGCAATTTTTTGAAGATGCCAAAATTAATCTTGAAAATCAACTTAAAGATGTAAAGGATTGTAATAGCAATGATAATAATCCTGTTAATGATAATAACAATAATATTATTATTAAAGCAAGACAATTTGACAACAACAACAACAGCAATAAAAAAATTAATACTTCTGAAACAGCCACCAGTTACAAGAGCATTGATGTATGCCACATGGAAATTCAGGTTGCTAAAATGGAAGCCAAGGCAATATCATCTATTGTATTTGAAAATGGGATACTGGAAAAGGAAAGACAGTTAGAAGAGGAAATAGATACACACTTGGAAGCCTTAGAAGTGGCTGAAGATTGGCATAAAAGACAGAAACAGGAACTATTAGATTGAATTAAGCAACTAGAAGAAGAAAACAAACAACTAAAAGAATTAACTCCACAAGAATTATTAAAAGAAATCAATGATTTAAAAGCTCAATTAACCCAATTACAACAACAGAATGGTCAATTAACTGCACAAATTGAAATTAAAGAAACTAAGAAATGACCTTGATTGAAAATAAGAAAGTAATTTTAGGTATTTCCCTCTGTATAATTCCAACTGTCAAAGAAAATGATAGTTATTTTCCTTCTAAAGGTTTCTGCTTTTTATTAGGTAACAATGCACCTTCATGCTGCTTTCTTTTCTTAACATTTATTATTTTTCTTTCCTCTTGGTAAATTTCATAAGTAATCCTTTCCTTACTTAGATAAGCTTCCAGTGCCTGAGTATCATTTATTTTGAAGATGTAAGGAGCAATTTTTTCACCTTGTTCTTTTTTTAAAATACTTCTAATGGTACTATAATTCTTGGGTTCCATAGTAGATCTAATATAAATTAATTTCATATTAACTATTTTTATGTAGGGATAGTTATATATATCACTCAAGATCAGTGTTGGCAATTTAACCAGTTCAAATCTTTTTTTGAAACATTTGAACATTTGAACCAATAATTGGTTAAATAACCAGTTAATTAGTTAAATAACTAAATGATTTATTTAACTTGCAGATCAGTTATTTAACAATAAAAATCAGTTAAATAACTTGATTTGTGAGTTAAATAACCGATCTGTGAGTTAAATAACCGATCCAAGTTATTTACAATTGTTTTTCCCACAACTTTAACATATATTAAATATGGGAAAGAAGCAGCATTTATTTACACCTTGGTTTAGACTTTCGATAGAAAAAGTGAATTCTACACATAAAGGGGCTGCCTGTAGATCTTGTATTAAAGCAAATCCTAATAAACCTATTGAAGACCTTTATTTTACTAATAAAAAAGAAACATGTCTAAATCATTTAAAACATTGCAAACATTTTAAAGAAGAAATTGGTGAAGCTGAATACCAACAAATAATCAACCTTGATAAGTCATCTACTTCTAATCCTGTTGCATTATTGAATGAAGAAGAAATTGTTTTAATTCAAGATGGTAAATGAAATTTTATATTTTTATAAAGTTAATTTTAATTTAGATTTAATGTTAATTATGATTTTTGTAGATGCAGATGATAACAATTCAAACATAAAACAAATAAAAAAGGTTAATTCTGGAAAACTTACTAATTATATAAATAAAGCAACAGTAAAAAATAAACAAGAAAAATTTATAAAATCTATTTTTAACGCAACAATTTCAAATGGATGGGCTTTCAGATGGGTGGAAGATACAAATATAAAAGAAGCATTTTGTATTGCAAATTCAACTCTTAAATTGCCATCAAGAAAACAATTGAGTGGTAAAATTTTATCTGAAAAAAGCAAAGAAATTAAGGATGATTTATATAAATCAGCAAAGAGTGATAAGCTTGGCATAACTTTAACATTTGATGGTTGGAAAAACGTTGTTCATCAGAAATTATTAGGTGTTGTGTTAATTAATTCATGTGGAAAAAATCTTATTTGGGATGTTAAAGACATAAGTGGTGACCTTCAGAACTGGAATGTTGTTTATAAATATGCAACTGATTTATTTGAAGAATTAAGAACCCAAGAAATTAAGATCCTGAGCTTGGTAACAGATTCAGCATCAGAGAATGTTGCAGCAAGGTTTGTGGTAAATTTTATTTTTTTTATTTTACTAAAATTTTATGATTAAAAAATTTTCAATATTATTAAATAGAAAAAGACTTAGAAAAAAATATCGAGAAATAACATTTCTTCCTTGTTTTGCCCATCAATTGAACTTGATTATGGGAGATGTGTTTAAATCCTCAAATGCTTTTAAAGAAACATCAACATTAGCTGTAAAAATTGTTTCATTTTTCAATAGATCAACATATTTTTATTCAAAGCTTTGAGATGAACAGAAGATATGTTATCAAAAATATTGGGCATTAGTTCAACCAAATGATACAAGGTGGTGTAGTCACTATTATTGTTTTAAAAGTCTTGTTAGATCCAAAATACCATTGAAGGTATAACTAAATGTATTTTTAAATATGGCTTTTTTTTTTTTGATATGTTATTAATATATGTATATATATATATATATATATTTTTTTTTTAAGACACTTGTTAATAAAAATAGTTTATCTGATGATCATGAAGCAAGGAATTTATCTGAAGAAATGGTCAACATCATTGAAAGTGAAGGTTGGTGGCGAAATTTAGAACAATTGACTATTTTATTACATCCAATAAGTGCAATATTAAATCAATTACAAAAATATACAGCTAAACTATATGATATTATGCATGGATTTGCATACATAATGAAAATAGTTAAATTATATCCTGATGAAAATTTTAAGATCATGATGATTGACAGATTAGAAAAACGATGGAATCAATTAGAACAACCTTTATTTTTGATTTCATTTTTACTTCATCCACAACATAGACTAAAAAAATTTAAATTAAATAATATTAATTTGGATTTAACTGTTTTTGGTCAATGGATAACATATTACTATCTTGCATTCTTTAAAAAAAATCCTTCAAATATTTTATTAGAGTTAACAAATTGGATAGAAGAAAATTATCCTTTTGATGATAAATCTTTTTCAAATTTCAATGGTGATGTTATCAAATATTGGAAATTTATTAATCAAGGATCAAAAGAATTATCATCATTGGCATTGCATATTTTTGCAATTTGCATTAACTCTGCATCAACAGAAAGATTATTTAGTTCAATGGGTTTTTTTCATAATAAAAGAAGAAATAGATTGAATGTAAGTTTAAGTTTGAATTTTTTGCTAATATTTTGTTATTGCAATAATAAGATTATCAAATTGATTAATATTTTTTTCAGTATAAAAAGGTTTTAGCAATGTCTCAAATCAAAGCTAAATTAATCTTTGAGCAAAAAATTAAAGAATTGCAAAAATTTTTTGATCATTATCATTCTGAGAGTGCTTTACCATTTGAAGAAAGTGGAATAACTATGCCAGTATTAGATGATGATTACAATGATGGTTGTGATGATGATTATGATCTTGAAGATCAATCAATTGGTAGAAATGTTGAAAATGAGGAAAATTTGATATCAAGTTGGGTTGAAATGACAGAAGAAGAAGAATTTGATATATTGGAAGATAATAGTAGTAATTCAAATAATTTTATTGATTTTCATGAAATTTCAAATAATTCTCCGTTGAGTGATCCAAATATTTTACAAAGAACATATCCAGCAGATGATCAAAATGCTAAATGGAAAATGGAAAATTTATTTGTAGAAGATTTGGAACCTCCTTTTTTATTATGAAATGTTATAATAATAGACAAAAACAAATGTTTGAAGTAATATTTTATATAGATATATATAATAAATTTTGAATTATAAATTGTTTGTCATATAATTTATTGAATGAAAGTTCAAAAGTTCAAAAGTTTTTTGAACCAGTTATTTAACTTTTGAACTGGTTATTTAACCAACAGTTCAAAAGTTATTTAACTGACATTGCCAACACTGCTCAAGATAGAAAATGGGATATTATAAAACTGTTAATTATAATCACGTTACAAATGACTAAATTTTGATCCCTGAAATTCTGGTAATACCAATGTTCACTTTGTCTGGTTTTGTTGCAGTATGCCCCATATATTATTTACAAAGGATTGTCCTCTTTTAATACCATATTTGGATCCATCTTTACTTTTCTAGTATAACTATCATACCATTCTTGAAATAATTTTAATGATAAAAAAGAATTGCCAGTTCCAATAGCATCAGAACCAAAAGGAATTGAAGTTGTAGCAAATGAAGTAACATAATTATAAAGATTTTTTAGTATGTTCATAGTAATTTGATTAATAAGATCAAAATTTGGTATTGTGGTACTATTTGTAGCAGAATTTGTGTTTGATAAATTGCTTGGTGGTAAAGTTGCAAGTTCAGCTTCTACTATTGAAATAGGTTCAATAGCTATTCCTAAAGTTGCTGTTACTGGTTCTGATGATGATGATTGATTGGCTGTTGATAGCGTTGAATCATTTAAATCCATTGACATTTCATCTGTTGATGTTGTTGAATCCCCAATTAATTTTATTGGGTTGAATTTAAGTGTATTTTTATTTGGTGCTAATGTTGAAGTTGATTTTGATGTGGAAAATCCACGAAGTCTAAAAATTGCACTAGGTTTTTCATTTGATAGCCTTTATTTTATTTATACCCCAAAAAAATTTTTGTTACTAAAAAAAATATCATACATAAAATTCAGGTAAAATACATCTACTTACATCCCCAACAGCTTCCAACCACCTTCACTTCCTGGCCATAAAAAATGTACTGTTGCTGCATAACCTGGATCAAATGAAATTGTACCAAGTAAAAATACCACAATATGATTTATATTTGCTGCGTCTGGTAATTCAAATATATACTTATTCACATCCACTTGTTGAAGGTTTGTTTGAATCTAAAAAAATTTAAAATTGATTAAATAGGTCTATAATTAGAAATATATTTTTCATATTATTGAATTTCTTATTCCTCACCAATCTTCCTGCTACAATACATCCAAACATTTTCTACCATAAATAGTGTCATCAGAAATTCAATGCTTGCTTTTAGAAGATCTTCGTGCTACATACATATTGTATAAAAAAAGTACAAGTTACTTATAGATTCCACGTTTATCATACATAAATCGTATATAATTTCTATCGTGTAACAAATATGACATGATAATCTAAAAAAAACCCTTTTATTTTTAAAATTTTTTTATTGTATAAAATATGGTATATTTATTACCAAGTTAATTTGCTTTCTTTTTTTTTAAATGAAAAGTGTTTGATGAATTAAAAAATCTATCGTTATTATTATTGTTTATCGTAGGGAGCTGTGAAACGATACCCATATCCGAAACAAGTTTGGTAAATTTAAGGATTTTTTTTCTCTTGCCATTTATTTATTTATTACTTGTTATATTAATTTAATCAATTAACATACATAGGTCACCAGGTAATTAAATTTATTTTTTACCATAATGTAACAATTATAATTGATAGTTTTAAATAATTATAGCTGGGGGTTGGTGGACTCGACCATCAAATTGGAAAAGTAATACTGCTATATGTGCAGCTGGAATAATTGTCATGACAGGAGTTATTTGGAAGATTTCTAGTGATCATGAGGTAAATCATTAATATTATTTATATTATTATATCAATTGATTGGATCCATTATAACTATAATATTATAATAATAATTATTATTTTTAGTGGAGGCATAATAAGCCAACTAGATGGATTCCTTCCATGATGGTAATATTTATTTATTTTTATATAATAGAATAAGTGAAAGTAATCAATTTTAATAAAATTATTATTATTTTTGATTAGTGGTCAAAACAATTTAAAGATGGTGAATATAATAATTTGAAATTTGAACCAAGTAAACCTGAAGAAAAAGAGTAAAATTAATTACTACAATAAATAATAATAAAAATAATATATGCTAGAAACTTTTAAATTTTATTTAATCTGAGAAAAAAAAAATTTAAATTAATTGTTATTATTACAATTAATAGGTAAATTAAAAATATAATCATCAATTAATAAATAAATTAAAACTACAATTATCAGTTATTAATAAATTAGTAAACTTTTATTTCTATCTATGTACAAAACTTCTTTAGATTCTTTATCAGATTCATTGAATTTAAACATCATTTAGAGGTGACTGAACTGGCAGTTGTTAAAGAAGGTGGCAAAATTTTATCATCATCACTATCATTATTGATAGTGTTGGTATTAGTAGTAACAGTAGAAATAATTGCATCATTGTTTCGGTCATTCTTTTTTTTATCATCTTCTAAATCATCAATTTTTCCTATTTCATGATCCTCTCCATTATCAATCTTTTCTTCAAATAATACTTTACTATATGAATGTACCACTCTTCCAAAATGGATCTATAAAAAAGAAACAGTTAACTTTAAAAAAAAAAAAATCACAAATTTCTTTTCACCAAAAAAAAAAGAAACTTACCAAAAAAATAAATTTAAGAAAATAATCAATCAGATAAAATATTAATGCTAAAATAGTAGCAACCTCACAAGCATCACCAACTTCTTGAATTGTAATGGCATTAGGATCATATGGCACGGTTACAGTACTTGAATTTGATGGTATCCAATATCTTATATCATCTTGACAATTGTGCATTGTATCATCTTTCCATTTAAATGCTAAAACCAATTGAATCAAATGTAAAACTAACAGTAAAAAAACTGAAAGCCAATATATAATTGAAAATATTTTTACTTTGTTTTTATCATTCTTTTTTTTTTAATTTTTTTGAGTTAGTGAATAATAACTAGTTGGAAAAAAAGAAATATATACTAAGTGATTGGTAGAAATAATAATTACCAGACGTAATGCATTTACACCATATATTGCAATTATTGCCACCAAAAAATATAATATGCTTAAAACTAATGTGAATACTCTTGGTAGATGTGTTATATATACTAAAAATTTAATTAATCAATAACAAACTTAATTGAAATAAGCATCATATGCTCTCTTAACCACTTACTTTTAATCTCTGGGATCATTATTGCTGTATGCCATAATGCATGTATCTGAAACAAATAATAAGAAAATAAATAATAGCATTAAAAATCCTTTAAATTTTCAAACATTATATGAATAATAATGATGCAAAATATTATTATTCTTATTTTTTACCAACAAAAGTATCGCAATGGTCATGACACCTGGCTTTATTGGTATACAACAACAACATTTTGTTCTAGAATGTTGAGCAATAACTTTCTTTAAATTACAACTTCGAGACTTGGGTTTTTTTTCGTTTGGACTTTTTAATTCCAACATTCTTGAAGAATTACGAAAAAAAAGTAAGTTTGATCTATTTTGTATCCATTTGTCTATCTGTTTACATTAATGAATAAAATTTTCTTCGGATGTTCGAATTCTATGTACTACAAACATTGTGCATAACTGAGAATAGAAACTTGGAAAGTCGTGTGACCGATCAGTCAAACCATGTTTTCAAAAAATCATTATTATTATTATTATTATTATATATTTTATTTCCCCTTACTAAATATCAAATATGGTTAAATCAGGGTCTGGAAATAAACCGGAAATTAATTAATATTTATATTTAGGAATAATATTATTAATTAATATTAATATAGTTGGCTCGGTCTAAAACCTCCTAAATTTTAAAAAAATATAGAAGTCATTTTCTGTCCTAAAAAAATAACGTTATTAGTCCACTAGATCGTTACTAAATTTAGACTAGCTCACAATTATCATGTCTAAATTTGGCATTAAGAAATAATTTTATTTTTTGAAATTGTTATTCAAAATTCTTTAAACAAATAAAACAAATATTTATATTGAAATTATTATCTCTGATTCGATTCAATTTTTAAGACATAAACTTTCTTGTGACTTTTTAAGATCCAGTCTATTAGGAATTGGACAAAAGTGTGTTTAGCTATGCTAAAAGCCAACTCACTTGGCAACACTAGTTTCTGTATTGATGTAGCTTCTAAAGACAAATTATATTTTTCTGAATATTCATCAAAAACTCATTTTTGGTCATCTCTAATTCAGACTTAGAAAATGAATGCTATTAATTTATGTGATGGATTCAATATAGTACCAATTTTAGAATTTTGATCAAGTGATCTTCAAGCTTTAATCAATTGCTGTTGCAATCAATGTTGGTGTAGCAGGTGGACCTTCATTATCCATATTAACAATTCCATTTTAATTTTTTTGTAATTATTTTAAGATCCGTACGAAGATCACCATGTGTTGGGTAAATTGAAGTAGATAAGCAAGAAAAATTGGCTCTAATAAATTATATGTATCCTATATTAAAAATAATCAATCAGATTTATATTTTTTTCTAATATATATATATTGCAAAAAAATTTTTTTTAAATATGATATGTTTTCTCATTTGGTAAAATTTCTATTTTCCTGCTACAAGTATTTCAATCATATCTTTGATTTTCAACAACAATTTTTTTATCATGATATACAGGGAATTCCAATGAGTTGGCACACCCAACTCACGAATTAAAAATTTATTGCAAAATTATGAATATTACTTACTAGTTGACTTATTTTTTTAATTGGTTGATCAATTAACTCTCACCATTCTTACTACTAGATTGAATGTGCTATACACCTGAAATGTAAAAAAAAATATATTTAAGGGCCAAGCTGTTCTTAAACATTTCAAGATTGTCATGTTTGACCCATTATCTGTTGTTAAATGCCAACAATTTACTACCAAGTGGAAATTCCTCTAACATAGTTATTTTTATCTGCTAAAAATAACCCTGTATGGATTTCATAAATAAGATTTTTTACTTTCCAGTCCTGGTCAACCCAATGTGCTATCACTCCTAAATGTCCTTGATTAATGGTAGTAGAAGTCCAAGCACCTATAAGAGACAATTTGTTGGGAAATTTATTAAACATCTATTTAACCACATCTTTTTGTTGTATATAAAAAAAATTAATCAAAGTAGATATTGATTGCCAACACGATAATTTCTATTGAGGGTTAAGTTCAGCAACAAAAATTCTTTTTTATACAACACCAAAAGCTCATTGTTCAAACATAATCCATTTCAACGGCTTATTGTCAAGAGTTTTCACTTTTTTAGATTATTTTGTTGTTGATCATTGTCAATAACAAAAAACAAAAGATATTGATTGGTTGTTGTTATAATTCAATTTGATTGTAATTTTCTTTGTAAAAATCAAAATCACCATCAACTTCAAAACTATTTTCATTTTGTTGGAAAAATTCATAGTATTAAATGTGTGAATTTCGCTACACAAGGACCTTTTTGGGGATTTTAAGTCCTAAAGACTGATTGCCTAATTTTGTATGGGTGCACTTTTGTGATTAGACCAAATTATCAAAAGGAAGAACCATTAAAATATCAATGATAAGATATAAGAAATTGTGAACAAACTGTTATTGGTGAGAAAGGAATTGCTTTTAATAAAGTTAAAGCTTAAAAAATTAAAATAGATTAAATAGGTTATAAATATGCAAAGGTCCCTTTAAACAATTGCCAAAAATTATATCTTTGCCTTAAATTACTAAATATGGTAATTTGCATATTAATGTTGAACGCGTTTACCCAATAATAGTTTTACGTAATATTTATAATTTGAATTAATTAACATCTTGTATACGTGTAAATATATATATATATATATATATTTCGTCTATAAATGCTTTAAATATAACATGAATAATAATAATAATAATAATAATAATAATAATAATAAAATGATAATAACAGTAATAATAAAATAATAAAATTAATTAAAGTATCCCAAAAAAAACATATATATATTATAAATACAAAAATGATAATAATGATGATGACGATTATAAATATTTATTAATTATCTTATTAATTAATTAGTTTAAAAATTTTTTTTTGACTTATAAGAAATATTGTCCTACACCTGCTCTAGCTGGATTAACACGCTCTTGATCAGGTACGGCATTAAAAATTTTAAAGCTATTTTCATCGATTTGTAAGTTTTCATCAATTTGCATAATTGATGCTACATTACCACACCTGTAACAATAGTTAGGAGCTGACCATACTGTTACAAGATTGTCATCCGGAAACATATATTTAAACCCTTCTTGAACTAGTTGATGTGCTCGAGCTATCAAACTAAGATCGTTAACATGGTTGAACTGAAAAAAAATGATGCATGTTTTATTAGTTGAATTGATTAGTTTAGAGGGAAAGAAAATTATAATTTCTTTTAGTCGATTAAAATTTTTTTTTTAATTTTTTATCTTTTAAATTTAATAATTAAGGATTACTTCGTTTGTTACTTTAGCTCCGAATAACCATCCTGCTCCGCGTGGACTAACAGCCCATGTTTCAATATCTTCGGGATCAGACCACATCAAATCTATTTATCATGTTTAATGATGATAATAATATTGTTGTTATTATTATTATTATTGCTATTATTATTCATTTAATTATTCTATCCAAACAAAATTACATTGAATAATTATATTTACCACAAAATGATCCCTCATGTGGAATTTCTTGTGCTCTTGGTATTATTCTTATTTGATCTAATGTTCTAACTTCAGGTGATAATCCTCCATGAACACACAGAACTCGTCCATCAACAATCTTTGATTTTTTTTTTAAATCAACGATTTTTATTATTAGAGATTTTATGTATGAATCTTTTTAATTAAACTATTTAATAATTCCATTAATTGATACATTTATATATATTTATGTAAATATATATAAATAATATGTATTTTCTCCTTACAGCTGCTAATGTCAAATAATCAAATACTTGGCAACAATATTTCCAAACATTTGAATTTCCATATTTTGATTGACACTCATCTTTAACAAAATATTAATCAATTAGTATGTATGTTAAGAAAAAACAATATAAATTATTATTATTATTATTATATAATCACAACAATTTACCATAAAATCCATAAACTTGCGTTATTTGTCTACTTTCATGATTTCCTCTTAAAAGAGTAATCTTATCAGGATATCTAACCCCCACAAAATAAAAATTTTACGTAATTTAAACTTTTGTCCATTTGTATATACCCCAGTTGCATATATATATTCTAATATTTTTAATACCTTGCTTTTAACACCATTAATAAGGTAAATGTTTCTAAGCTATAATATCCTCTATCTACAAAATCACCCTAAATTATATAATTTTTAATAACAATAAAACATCCAATCGCATCAATAATATTGTTAATCAATTTTACCATAAATATATAATGTGTATCTGGAATCTCTCCTCCAACTCGAAATAGCTCTAACAAATCATAAAATTGTCCATGAATATCACCACAAACTGTTACTGGTGTATACACCGGCTGTATATTAGATTCCTCCATTAACAATTCCTTGACCTATACATATGTATATGAGTATAATTAATGGTGTATTTATATTTATATAAGTTACATATAATAGATCTGGTCAAAAATACAAATAGATAATGTAAATATCTTTTCATGTACCATTTCACAAAGTTTTTTCATATCATGTTCGGGTAAATATTGGCATGACTTGATTGTACTTAACCATTCATCTGGTCCTCCGCCCATATTTTTTATAATTATAATTTATATATTAAATTAATTTTGATTTTAATTATTTTTTTAAATGTGTTTTGATTAAAAATATTTTTATTATTTCAATTGATCTACAAAATTTTTTTGTCCTATAATAGGGGAATTTCAATATCATGTGATCGATACGTCATTGAACTCTGATCATGAAAGGCAAAAGGCAAAAACTATTTCATTCTTGAATACAAACAATGGTCGTAGATGGACATCACTTATGTGACGTCAAAAACGAAATAACAAGAATGAACAAGAGAGAACAAATAAAGAAAACCAGAAGATATCCGTTAGTAGTTTTTAGTCCATCGTCATCTCAAAAAAGGTACTTATGGGGAAGGTAGATGTTCCAAGTGTGTCTCTTGTCTTTCTCCCGTATTTTAACGCTCGCCCATCTTCTTTTTTATCTTAGTATCGAGCTGTGTCTAGCAATTATCCAATTATTTCTATTTCATGAGCTCATCTTGTACTCTATGTATTTCCTTATGAAGACAAATGGTTAAAGATTTGTACTAGTCAGAGTTGATACTGAATGTTGAAAAATGGCTTGAAACAATTAACACCATGTCTTTTTAATAATCTTTGTCCAACATATCATTTAGGAAATCAGATAATAATGATGATGATAATATTGATATCCTACGCAGTTGAAATTTGCACTAGAAATTCAATACATCTTGTGGTTTTGATAACCGTAAAGATGCCAATGAACATGTCATGACTACTACATTTAAATTTTATTCGAAGAGATCAAGAGTGAAAAAATGGAAATAATGTTTTTAAATCAAATCAATTAGAAGAGGTACTTGTGGGAAAAAAAAAGATATAAAGAAAGTCCACTCGTAAAATCTTTAAAAAAAAAATGTTATCAATGAAATAGTTTGTCAATTGAAGAAGTACTTGTTTTTCTTTTTCTCATCAATCAACTATTTTCGAAGGTTAGTAATAACACGAATCAACAAATTTTATGATATTTTCGTGACAACATATAATAATTTACTATTCCAAATGACCAGATATCGATGGATTTGTCATATTCACATTGAGCAATATAACACCAAAAATAATTGCAGAATCTTTTTTTATTAATTAATAATAATGATATTGATCTACAGTATCTAAATCGGCCAATACAGCTAAATTAATTGCAGCAGAAGCAAGCAATAGCAGTAATAAAAACTACAGAAATAACTACCAATATTACAGCAACTACCACTTAAAAACCTGCCATCGTCATTTCCTCATCATATAAAAATCAGTGTTGTGACCCGAAACTCTGAGTTTAGGGAAAACCAGAAACAGAAACTAACAGAAACCACCCCGAAACTAGTCTAGGTTAGTAGTTTATGTTTATGTTTAGTTTTCTGCTTAGTGTAAGTTCATTTTCCGAAACGTTTCGGGAAGCCAAAAGAGTTTCTAGTCACAACACTGATACAAATACATTTAATAAAACATTTACTTCATTGTGGTCACAAAAAACGTAGATCAAAGCAAGAATACGTTTATTATAGGTAGCGGTAACTGTTTTTCCATTGTTAATTGCCATTGGAATGATGTCTAAAGAAGATGTGGGCCAATTAGCTTACAGAGTATTGAAAGCTTATAAATTAGAAAAAAATATTTTATGAGAAAGTTTTATATCAAGAGGTGTACAACAAATTTTCATGATTGAATTTGAATGAATGATAATAACAATATTGTTATTGTGATTAAATTTTAAATGGATGAATGATTATAGTTAATTAACGATTTGTTTGATGAGTGATTAGTGATTAAGAGATTAGAGTCGATAAATTAATTAGTATATCATTTTTTATTTTTTTTAATTAATAAATTTTAAATTGCTTAAATTTTCAAGAAAACTTTTTTTAAAAATCATTCAAATACAATTTAATCACAATAACAAT